TTAGATCACCCACGAAGTCCATATCTTCTATAGTCTTCTTATTGGGCCAGTTCAGTGTATTCTTGTCCGTTCGCTCCCCACTCACGGTGTTCCGCAAAGTCGAGTCCACCACAATGACGAATATCATTGGTGATAATAAGCAGGCACCTTTGTCTAACTCCTGTATTCACTTCGAACGCCTGACTGAGTTTTCCGCTGTGGATCACCTGACACGCGGCATTGTCATATAGCCATCTATTGAATGAGGTTGATAAAAACTTGAGGTACATCATGGTGTTGAAGTAGTTCCTAAATTACTTCACAGTTAACACTGTCTGTTGAAAGCCTCTCCAAAGTCGATGAAGTTGAGTTAGAGGTTTGACTGCCATTCTATGCTTCGTTCGATGATGATGATGCGTAGAGTTGCAATTTGATTAGCACATGATTTGCGTTTCATGAATCCAGCTTGTTCTCGGGGGTGGAGTCCTGCATCCTGTGCAACTTTTAGTCTCTCCAGGATGACGCAACTTAGTATTTTCATTGATGTGAAAAGGAGCATGATTCCGCGTCAGTTGTTGGAGAGGCCTAACTTGTCCTCCTTTGTTAGTCTCACAAGGTAGCATAAAGCATTGCTTTTTCATCTTAGACCACACTATCGGTACTGGTTTGTAGCGGAAGTGTTCGAGTAAGTGGATTTCTCAACATTGTAATGTTCTAGCCTATCTTGTGAGTCATATGATAGAATTAGTTGGGAACAGTGAAAACATATCCTCATTTCTTTGATGAAATTAGCGTCCCATACATCATCTATAGTGAAATGAGAAGACTTTACAGTCCAATAATTCAGCAGCACTAACACTTCAACAACAACCGTTTTTCTCTAAGTGTCTCGACCATTCATTGAGACTAAAGGTGATCTCAATACAGTTCTTATTTTACCCTAATAAATTCTGAATGTCCACTCAGTTTCTTTTAAATCATGTTGGGCTTTTTTTTTACTATCTCTCGTGAAAAAAAAACAGGTTTTATTCAACTTATACGATACATGGCAGAATATTGTTCAGCTTGCCGGATCAATTATCAACCCGAAAGAAACCTCCGTCTACAATCCTCTATTATTACAATGGGTTTTAACAACACGACCTAAACTTGTCGATGTTATTCTCGCCTATCCAACAATTAAAGCATCGCATAACTATCAGTGTAGTCAGTGTGTTTGTAACAGTGTACTGGGCATATTATTTTCTGTCAATGAAGTTGAATTGAATAATCTGTTCAGAAAATTTACCAGTCACTCTGATTGTATCGACTATCTGATTATGGAGTCTGTGCAGAATCTAAGCGAGAAGATTAATTATTGTATACAGAAAATCGATAATCATCATACACATTTAAGAATTGTAAGTTGATTTTCCCCTCTTTTATGAGTGTCTGTATGCATGTGTTATGTTGCATTTTACTTTCAGACAGAGAGATGTGGCTTGCATTAATGCTTTCACTGTCTGAAAATTAGTTTAAAACTAAGGACTGAGTGAACAGCTGTTTTGTTTTCATCTCTGTGCCACTGTATTTCTACAGAGGCGCTGGGATGAGTAAGACAGCTTTTCCTATTTTTTCGTCTCTTACAATGTCGATAGATAATGGGTAGAAATATTGAGGGTTAAATAATGCTCGGCCGTGAAACTATATGAGATGGAATAAAGTATAATTATATTTTAATAGTTTACACACAATGATAAGTTTTGTTATTGGTAATATTTCGAGCAAAATTACTGCCCGTGTTCACACCAGTGTTGGAATTGTTTGATTCCAGGAATCACTATTTATATTTGATCTAATCCACAATGCTCAAACTTTTTACTGATATATGAGATGGCTTTAGATTTTTTGTAGACTATTATAGATGCAATGGTCTATGGATGGTTGAGGGTGAAATGAAACTCTGAACTGCATCGGGATTCGAACTAATGGCCTCTGGCGCTCTAGCAGCCGATCGACCTATAAGATCCAACTACTTACTAGGTCATCCATCATTTTATGGCAATTATCACAAATAGTACCCTGACTGCACTTGATTGAATGATATGTTACTGCTCCGTTAGGTCTTCTGCTATGGATCCTAACCACACTAAATATTAGAAGGAGAGTAACAGGTTGATGGTCGGTGGTGGTGAGACTATCTATAGTAGCCTTGGTTTGGATCACCTGGTAGAGTACCAAATTATCAATTCAGAGGCCATCGGTTCGAATCTTCTACTGTGGCCCAGATATCCATTTCACCTTCAATCCTCATCCCCCAATAAATCAATAATATTTGTCAAAATAATCTTCGAAACATAGTGAAGATGTGTGGTTTTTTACGGATGCTAATCCATGAAACTTTTGTAAATCAGCTAAGGTTAAATAATGTCTGTGTTTATAGTTCATGTTGCGATCTTCCTAACTGGGAGAATTAATAATGTTTAGGTTGTTATTAGGTGTCCATTTTTCACTGGAATCTGAGGTTTAAAACAAGACAGTTAATTTAATAATTCACTCTGAGACATAACACAAAGATTTCCGCGAACAACACTCTTTTTGCGACAATTCATTTACATATGGGGGTTCGTTTGTTTATTTGTTAGAATTTTGACAATTAGTGGAAATGTTGTGGTGAAATATGATAGTATTAGTACAGTAACACATGACACAGTTACACACAAAGTAGTTGGGCAAAAATGGCGCACGACTAGGCGTCAAAGTAACCTAAAGTAGGAACATGAATAATTAAATGGACGCAGTACGAGTTTTATCGGAACTTAAAGTAAATGCGTGTGTTGTAGATAAAATCCAATAAGGTAATTAAGGAGTTCTTCAAACAAGCGCTTTGATGACGTCATTTATCCTACTGACGTAACGTCATCAATCGAAGTCTGTAGAGTTAGTTGTTAAAAAGTGTCAAACTAAAACACCAACTAACATCCCATCATTCTGCTTTCAGTTTCACATTTACTCTTCTAGTGTATATTGCCTAGCAATTACTCTCTCATCACTGTTGAGAATTCCTATTGTGAAGTGAAAAGGTGAATCGATCACTACCTAAGTTTAGAAAATATTTACTCCATTATATTACGCTAATATTATCTATCATCCAAGTTAAATATTTATTAATAAAAAATTTTGTGTACTACAAATTTTTTGATTGGTTGGTTGGTTGTAAGCATATCACTCATGCATGTGCGTGGGTGGATGTTTTAAGTGATATATTCACCTCTATATGCAAAAGAGAATGCGCATAGGTAAACTTTAAATCCTTGTAATTTCAAGAATAATGATTACTAACAAGAATAACGGGGTTGTAAATAGTAGGTTAATGCTGCTAATTTTAGAAGGTTGTTTCAAATCTTGTTAATGATTTTGTTTATTTATTGAGAAGCTTTAGTGAATTATGTGCCTAATTATTTCATCATAACGCCCAATGCACTTAAAGCTGTGCTACTCTCATGATTATTCTTCCATATTCAATTTATTGACATCTTCTGTGTCCATCTACTGTTTCTGGATCTTTCATTGTCGATTACCACCGTATGGTTTCAAGTGTTGGGCTAATTTGAAGGCTTTAAGAAAGGAAATCGGCAGCCAAAGATGTATTTTTCTTTGCAAGACTAGAATTGACCAGTTTATTTTCCTTATAATAACGTTTAGGTAAAGTGTATTCATGAGTGCTTACTCCCGTTTATTCTGAGTGAAACATAGGGCCTCAATGGAATATCTCCACTTTGTCCTGTTCTCCCAGTTCTCTTTAGCTAGCTCCAAAACTGCCCGTAGGCGGTCATATCCCTCTCACGCGATCTCCTCCACGTCATTTTCAAAAGTCCAAATCGCCGTTTCCCATTCAGGTTCTACTCGAGGGTTTGGGACTTGATGTCATTTAACGGTTTCCTCAGCCTCTGTCTGGTCCATCTCCATTTCTTTGGTATATTCGTTGAACAGTAGGTTTCCGGAGTTCTTTGCTGCCAATCCTTTCTGGCCAGCCATCTGACCTTCAGTATAGAGCCAGTGAAGGCAGCTGCTGATATAAGCCTGCGGTGTCCTGTTGGAAATGTTTTTCGTGACACACCAGGTCTCTGAACTATGTAGAACCGACTCAACATTGGTGTTGAAAATTCCTTATGATCATTACACCAGAATTCCGAACTGATTTCAGAGTGATGAAGGTTTGTCTCACTTTTCCGACTTTAGTTTTGACATCTTCATCCGTGTCATCTGTAGTTGTAATGATATTGCGTAGGTAAGTGAAAGAGGTGACATTCTTCAGATTTCTCCAGTCGATGGTGATTAGTGCCTGTTGCAACAGGTTGGTTCTCTTCATCACCCCTGTCTTCCCTATGTTCACTTTAAGTCCCATCTTCTCTGCCTGCTTCTTCTACCAACTTGTTGGTCTCTGCCTGTAGACTTTCGAGTTTGTGTGACATTAGACACAAATCATCCGCGAAGCCCAGATCTTCTAGGGTCTGCTTAACGGTCCATCGTCTGTCCGTTTTCTCACTCCCCTCTGTCCTCCCCATGATCCAGTCCACCACAGTTAGGAATGTCATCGGCGATAGTAGACAGCCTTGTCTTGCTTCCGTCAACATATGAAAGGCTTAGCTGGGTTTTCCGTTGCGGATCACTTGATATGTGGTATTGTCATTCAGTTGCTACAACTATATTAATAGCTGATAATTCCTGTACATCACGCAATCCTACAGGGTGTCAGTCACTAATTTACGCAATTTCTTCAAGATTGCTAGATTATCATAATGATGAGTGTCAAAGATCATAGAATCTCTATTTAGGCCATCTTACCAATTGATTCTTCCTGATAACTAATGTTATTAATCACTCTCTTATGGCACAGTAGGTTAAGTAACCCGAAACTTTTATCGATACATATGTAGACTACTGACAATTAATCATAAGTAGTTTGAGGAATATGCATAAAAAAGTACATAATCAATTATCTTTTCATTACTTCCTTCTACAATTAGCTTCCACGATTCATGCCCACTAAGGAACAAGGTGAAGAGGTCAAAAGTCAGATATGGAAAGAGATTGATTGCATCAGATCCGGTGACTTGAAGACAATGAATTTAAGGCATGCTTTGTCTCGTTGGCATGAAGTTCTAGTGAAAAAACTTGAATGTGGTCGGAATTTTAATCGTGTCATAACTAATTGTTCCGAGAAAATCCACTCATTGACATTAAATCTGCAACCTGCTGAGAGTATGGATACAGTCGATTGTGTAGAAATTGAGGTAAGTGGATTCGAAATTTGTAGAATTCAATTTACTATATTTCATCAAATTCGTTGTAATGTTGTTATAATAAAAATATAGGTTGAATTTATTAAGTATGGTCACTGCGTTTGCTGTATATCGTTACGTAGGGAGGTTAAACTGTCTGGTTGGGATATTCGAGACGCTAAGAACTACTGGCTGGAGACTGTTGGCAATCTGGATCTAAATGGTTCCGAATAGCTCAGGTGGATTCACTCCTTGTGATCTCCTGGATGCCTTAAGTCTTCATTAGTCATCTTACAATTATTCTTTCTCCTGATAATTTCCATTTATTAAAGTTCCTCTGCGAACTAGTATGCTTATGACGTAGTCCTAATAGGTGCAGACTGATAAAATGCAGAGTTTTCTGAATAGCTATAGCAGAAATCTTCAAATGTTTGCAGTTAGATTGGCTCCTACGAAATCTAAGATGTTGCTACATGACTGGACTACGCTGATACCTAGCAATAAAGATGGGGGAGTGAAGTGGTTGAGGGTGATAATCACTTCATTCATTTGGGAAGTTGCAACAGACCTGATGAAATCCCATCATGGATAGAAAAGACTGGAGTGGCATTTGCTAATTTACTCCATCTATGGCATAGACTTGATATCGGGCTATCGATGAAAGAACGTGGGTACAGCGCAGCGGTTCTCTCTGTCATCCTTTATGGCTGTGTGACATAGCCAGTGAGAGTGGAAGATATGAAGGGCTACCTGTCTTTGACCACAGATGTTTACGTTTTATCTCACATGTTCAGTGGTATCATATGGTGAGTAATGCTCTGATCTGATGTAGTGTTAGGTAAGGGCGGGGGGGGGGGGTAATCCACTCGTTGAGGTTGTGAAGCTATATCGACTGAGATGCATTGAGCCATCATCTTCCTTGACCATCAGTGTTAGCCGATATTGGATTAGACTGGAAAAGGGTTAGAGTTGGTCAAACTAAAACAAAGTTCAGTCCATGAAGTCATTGACATTTGATTTGAGCCAGCCACATAAGGAGGTGTGGGGGTTGCCTAGTTGGAGTCCTCGCAATGCTAAGGACTATTGGCTGGTGAATGTTGGTGATATGCCTCAAAATCGTTGTCAGTGGAGCAGATGTATTCACTCTTTGTGATCCCCTTCGTGTTTTCCTGTGTTCCTGTCCTTCTCCCTCACATTTCTGCTTATTATTATTATTGTTTTATTAATCTGATTTTTTCTCACTTTTGTCTACCTTTGTGTGGTATATGGAGTGCTGTAACTTGAACTCTGAAAAGTTCTGTATTGAAATTTATTCATTCAGTCATACATGCACCTACTGTATTTTTATTTATTTGATACAAAGATTCCATACGTTAATAAAGCGCCAGTCACTACCGTGCTGAAGGCCAACAGCAGGTGGAAACTCCGTCCAACAACTGATAAGGTAGGCAGGAGAATTTGTGTTGTAACCACCTGCACAACCCAGAAGGTCACTTTTTTCGAGTATCGGTGAAAGTATTTGTCGAGAATGTGGTTTGTTATTAAGCCTAAACCACTGATTTGCAATGATCATTGAATCTGACTATTATGTACTGTAACGTTTATCAGCAGTTTAGATAAATATTTCTACATCTGATTTATAAGCGTCTCTCTTTACAACTGTCATAAGTTCCTTGTCTAATACTGTCAACACTTTTCCTATTGGATATTTCTACCTTTTTTAGAAACGTCTGTTGCATTTACAAGTAATCATGAATCAAACTGATAAAATGCTTTATGATCTTCAAACAATTGATTTCCGAACATCCATTAGTCATTCAATAAAGTTTATCAATCTTGTCAATCAGCTTATAGTACTACGTCAACAGAATATCGTCCAGCGTGTATTGTACAATCGTTTGAAATACTATCTATCAGAATTACAGAATCCTTCAACATTCCATCGACGTCTACTACACTTATTTAAACTTGGTACAGAAGGCTGTCGACAGATTACAAGTGAATTAATGCGTATATTGAATTTCACAGGAGCAGTAGATGATGCTACTTATTGTGACGATAAAAGTCATGAGTCGTCTGTGGATTATCAGTATTTAGAGAAACCGTTGTTTAAAATGCAGATAAAATCTCCAGGACAGAGTGGCTTGGAACAGGTTTGTTGATTAGTTTGTTTTTTTGTTGAGTTTAATTTTATTAACATTAAATAAGTGTAGTGAAAAGAGTTATGCAACACTTTTGATCCAACGTGTACTGTTTAGCGGCAAGACGCTAGTTATATGAACCGAAAATTACTATGTGCTTAGTGGTTTCACACTTATCGCTTTAGCCTATTATTGTGCCTCATTTTATTATACACTATGGGTTTGTATATAGCTGCAAATCTTTATCAATAAACCAAGTTTCCAAGGAATCTCTAAAAGAGCTATTCACTAGGTACGAGTCTTATGAATCTCCAGCGGGAATCAATTCTAAAAGTGTATTAAATCCGTATATTGCGTAGTCTTTAAAGAAGTAATCCGTGTTGTGGACCGAATTCTGCCAGTCAAGTTGTAATTCGGTCACCATGTGATGTACTTTTAGTCGATTTTGGATGGTTGTAGGCATTTGGTAAGAAGCCTTCAATCCAGGTTTCGTGTTTATAAGGACTCTACAGCAGGGTGTAGTCACACCCTTTGAGCATTTCATATCCTCTCATGAATTTGTACCCACATCAACCAGAGATGCTACTACTTGATTCGAATTGCTCAATGTTCAGAGGCTCCCTACCAACAACCTTCAACCATGTAACATCAGATATCATGAGTTGAAAATTCCACCTCATCTGCTCACATGTGAATGACTGCTCTCGATTTTAATAGAAGTCGGACTTGCTTACTATCACAAGGCCGTCAAATAAAACGAAATCCCTCAGTGTATTTTGTCTTCCCGGGATCTCTTCATACAAATAGAAGTCATTACACATAGTGTCAATACTTTTATAATTGAATGCTGATTATTGCCTGGAGTATTTTGAACAGAATAGTACTCATATTGCTAGCTAGACAATAATTCAAAGTTTTGACAGAAATCTGCTTAAAACGTTTGTAAAGTAGTGTGTCACTGGCCCATGATGCTGCTCTGTCTTGTACTGTGAAGGGCACTTTATTTTCATATTAGGTGGTTGGGGGCAATTCATTGTGGTGGCTTTCTAGGCTTTGACCTCATGCTTCTGAACACTTTTAATTTAAGTGTATCTGCAACCTTGTAGAAATTGGTATTTTCCATCCGGTTCAGACATTTATTCATACACTACGGCAACGTTGTTACTGGGCTATTCAGGTTACAACTGAGCCATTTATATAACTGAGTGGTTTGCATGAATCACTTAGTGGATGCTAACTAGTCTTTTTGGCAGATCCTGTGAGGTGATGTGTATATTAAAATCTGCTCTTCGTTTAGATTTTCAAACAATCATGTGGAATTTCGTGTAAGATTGTATGATTTGATCCAGATAATAGAGTGTGAATTGATACTTGTGTGGTTTGGGTGAGATAAATAAAGACTAACAGTGGGAAATAGGTTACACTAGAGGATCAATACAATGGCTGCTGAGTAGACAACTGTTCATTGGGAATAATTGTGTGTTTATTGTCGTCTGGGCTAAAAATCTATTGATCATGAATAAATTAAGTGGAGAGAAACGAATTTTGTAGTAGTTCTAAAAAAGGTTTATATATATATATATATATTGAGTGATTGTATGCAAACATTCGTATTCAATACAAGTAGATGCATAAATTATTCACGTTGAACTGCACTGTGAAGGATAGTAAAGTTTCTGTATTCGGCTGAAAGAAACTCACTGAAATTAATTTTTATTCTCACATAAATCAAGGTTTAGTTTACGTGATCTGTTTTGCACGGAGTTGGTATAACCTATGTAGTGGTTCCATCTCTGTTTATGCTTCATATCATTGAGTAGTATTGGCTTCTAGTTGTGGCTAACTAGTGGTACTCCTTGATTCGTTTCCTTCATCTTGTCCCATCAGACGTCGTTAACATATCAACAGAATATGCACATTATATTATTTTTATTATTCCCTTGCGTTTTGAGTGGAACATAGGGCTTCCACAACACATCTCCACTTTGTTCTGTTTTCTGCCATCCTCTTCAGCTGGGTCTACGGTTGACCAAACTCTCTCATCTCTCCTTCACACGATCTCCTCCATGTCACCCTCGCACCGACGACCAACTCGTCGCTTCCCATTCGGACTCCACTTGAGGGCCTGGAGTGCGATTTCATTCGGTGGCCTCCTTAATGTATACGCCATATATCTACACTTTCTCCTGCATATTTGTTGAGCAATAGGCTCTTGGTCGGTTTGTTTCCATAGTTTCTTGTTGTCTATTCTTTCTGGCCGGCTGGCCATTTGATCTTCGGTATGGAATCATCGAAGGCAGTTGTTGATCAATGTCTGTAACTTGTTGGAAATGCTTTTCGTGAAGCGCTGGTCAAGTTTCTGACCTGTATAGAAGAAGTGACTGACTGACTTCACATTTGTGTCGGAAATCTGAATCTCTTTCTTTATGCTGAGGCGGAGTGCAGAAGATTTCCAAACTGGTTTCAGAGTGATGAAGGTCTGTCTAGCCTTTCCGATTCTGGCTAGCTTTTACGTCTTCAACAGTTCCACTGGCCTGTGATTGAAACGATGCTTCCTAACCGGATAAGTGAAGGAGGTAACCTCTGTTAAATCTCTCTCGTTGATGGTGATTGGTGCTGTTTGTTGTTGTTGGTTGGTTGGTTGGTTATATTCATCACTTCCGTCTTCTCTATGTCCACTTGAAGTCCTATCTTCTCTGCCAGCCTCTTCGGTCAGTTTGTTGGTTTTCGCCAGTAAATTTTTGAGTTTGTGTGACATTAAACACAAGTCGTCCACGCGTGAAATTCGGATCTTCTGTAGCCTTCTTATCGATAAGTGTAGTGTGTTCCTGTCTTCTCGCTCCCCACTGCCCGACTTATAAGATTAAACTGTTGTAATAGAAATGAATTGAGCCTACATACTCTCAAACTGCAGTGGTTGAATATTAAACCTTAAAGTTTTTGATATTGTTGTGTTTACTGAGCTGGATGGTTCAGTGCAAAGTCACTTTTAAGGTTAGCTGTGAAGATGCTGTCCTGAGACTGAGACAGCTGAGACAACACAATACCACCAGTAACATCCATCTGAGCTACAAACCTTCTCCACTATGTCGAATCTTATTGCACTAAATGGTGTGATTTTGGTTAAATATTTAATATTCCCTGGCTTTCCTGGGAGCCAGGGAAGCTTTTCCGAACCCCGGCGGGTGCGTACTGCTGAAGAGTCACAAACTAGGACGAAACGGATATCCAGTACTCCCAGGTTTTCCAATGGTTCTCTAACCAATGTCAGCTCATGATGAAATCCTGTAACGAATAAGTATTTGTTTATGTTTTGATAATTTGGTTGAATGATATTAAAGTAAGCTGTAAAATAAAACGATCATTGCTTAAAGGTACCATCAGTGTGGTGAATGATGGAAGCTATACAGTCATTACTACACAGGTTAAGTTAAAGATAGAGAAGAGCGCCACTTAGTAAACTGATTAGTCGAACAGTAATTATCCTGAGACGTAACATACTGAAACAGGTTGATCAGCCTAAGATGAGTGTCAAAATGAGTGTTATTGATGAGTTTTTCGCCAGATATATGAGACAATTTGAGAAAAAAATGTAGCTCACAATACGAATGACTGCTATTGTGGTGAGAGCTGGCTGCTAGCCAAAGTTGGTAGACAGTAATTGACGTCAATGTTTATGTCTCCAATATCGGTGGTAAGAAAATGAGAACAAAGGCTTTGCGTAGGCGGATATAGTTAGCATATGGATGATCTGACACAGCCACAAAGAGATGCAAGGTTAACTTTCTGTGAGAAACAACCAATTAAAAGACTGTATTCTCTACTAACAATAATCTACAATAATGTACATTAAAATCTATAAATATGTGTTGATTTTCCTTAACAAACGATCTGTTTCCTGGCCCTTGTCACCTGTTGTTACACTGTAAATAGTCTAACACTCACAATAAATAAATAGCTCATTCATAATTCCCGTCTAACATTCTTGTATTTATTCATTCAATTTTGTAAATTTTTCGTTTCTTTTGTTTTTTTTTGCATTTCCAGCTATTTTGTAAACTTTCATTAGTCGATAAATATTGTTCTGAAGCTCAAAGCCATCTTAGTCAAAAATTTTCATGGTTCCCTTTAAAATCTGGATCATTCAATAATCAATATGAACCGATGATTGGTTCTGATGGATCTGATATTTATCTGAATGAATTAACCAATCAACTTGTCATATCTTTATTATGTCCTTCTGTAGTTAAAACAAAAATTGAAACTTTATCTGGTGAATCAGAAAAATTGAGAAATATTCTTTCTGCATTGTAGGTTAATATATATATATATTTTTAAAATAATCACAACTTAATTTAATATTTATTTAATTATATGAATTGGTCACGGGATCATAAATTGTGGAGCAGTCAACATTTAAAAGTGGCTAGTGCTGGAGACTAGGATGCATATTTTCAGATCAGTTAATAAAATGCGCCTGATCCGTGTTTTGGTGGTTTCACTGAAACTAGAATCCAGTACCGAAGCCTTGTTCCATAGATTACTGAATCACTATGATCATTTCTCGTTCAATGAGCATTAGTTGTCCAATATATATAACTGGAAAGAAGGATACCTCTTGTCACCGGACTGGATCATTAAGAAAACTGAGGGGAGTGAGAAAATGGATTGATGTTGGACCGTTAAGAAGATCCTAGGAGATCTTGACTTTGAGGATTATTTATGTCTAATATAGCACAAAGTCGAAGATCTACGGGCAAGGACTAACAAGTTGGCTGAAGAGGTAGGCAACGAATACAGGACTTCAAGAGGACATACGGAAGATATAGGCAGATGAAGAAAATCAACCAACCAACAACAACATGCACCAATCATTATCAACGGAAGAGATTTGAACGAGGTCACTTCCCTTCACTTATCTAGGTAGCATCGTCTGAACTACAGATAGCCGGTACAAATGCGGATGTCAAAAACTAGAATCGGAAAGGCGAGACAAACCTCCATCACTTTGAAATCAGAAAAAGATTCCGATTTTGAACACCAATGTTAAATTAGTTCGTCTACATGGTTCAGAGGCTTGGAGCGTCACTGATGCATTCCCAACAGACCACCTCAGATTTATATCAACAGCTGTCATCTCTGGCTCAATAATGAAGATCAGATGACTGGCCAGGAAGAACTAACAACAAGAAACTCTGAGAACGAACCAATCAAGAACCCATAGCTCAAGAAATATACCGAAGAAAATGTTGGTGAATCGGACACACACTGAGGAGACCGTTGGGTGACATCGCGTGTCAGACCATCGCTTAAGTGGAACCCTATCGGGAATTGACGAGTTAAATGTGAGTTCGAGGGTGAAATGAAGGAGATCGTGTGAGAAGAAGATGACAGCTTGTGGAAAATCGTGGAGCCAGATGAAGAGGATTGCAGAGAACAGGACAAAACTGAGATGTGCAGTTAAAGCTCTATGTTCCACTTGGAACCCGTAGGAATAATAATAATAATGACTAACTGGATTGATCGGCTCTCGTTTAACTTCATAAGACCGTAGGCTTAAAAGGTTTTTGATGAAAACCAATTATTCTCGACAAGAGTTAGTGTTATTTTCCTATCGAACACTTTTCTAGGATTATCACGTGAATAACAAAAGGTAATACTGGAGATTACTTATTGTAGCTTGGATATCTGGCTATTGGGGATTGCATAGAGGACATACACGTTTAGACAGAATATGTAGAGCCTACTATATAGTTTTAAACACTTATCTGCTAAACTAACTCATAATGACGTTACACCTATGAGTACTTTGAATAACGGTTGCTTCTACAACACTCACGGAGTATCTGAATTAATTTTCATCTGATGCAATAAACCCTCTAAAAATATGGTCGATTATAAGATGTAAACACTTACTGTTTAGTTGTGTTATTCATAGTCATAGCGATGATGAAAGACGAAGTTCTTCCTGGAGAATGTGAAACGAATGAAAATTGAATCTAAGGGATCAACCTATTTCCTTTTTGAATGGAATCGAAACTTCTTACGAACCGGAACTGGTAATATTGTGGTGAGAGCTGGCTGCGAACAAGCCATAATTGTAGACAGCAATTTACGTCAATATTACTTCCCGAATCGGGGTTATGAGAAAAACAAAAACAAAGCTTAACCTTGAGGAACTCTGTCTGTCTGTTTTCGACATAGAGCTTTGCACCGATGTGCATCAGTTCGAGTCGCCACACTCCCTCCTTGTAGCACACAAAGCAAGAGAAGAAAGTAGAAGAAATGCATAATAGAGACAGTAAACAGAGGTGTGAGACAAAGGAATAGTAATGACGAAGAACAAAACAGTTTCATTGGAAATTATAAGTCACAAGGAGTGGATGCATCTGCGCCATTGAGAACGATTTTGAGCCATTTCACCAATTGTTTCCAACCATTGGTGCTTATCGTCCCGAGGACCCCAACCAGGAAGTCTACACCTTCCTACGTGGCTGGCTTAAACTAACTGTTGTAGATTTCATTGACTGGTGCCATGTTTTCGTTTGACCGCCGCTAGCTCTTTTCCAGTCAGCTAACATTGCCCATTGTCGAGGAAGGCAATGACTAGGCATACGTAACACATGTCCTAACCATCTAGGTCGATGTAATTTCACAGCCTCGTCGACTGATTTCCCCTCCCACCCACCTAGCACTCGACGCCTAACCTCAATATTGATCACCTTATTATACCACCTCACACGGGAGATAGAACACAGGCACCTATGATCGAAGACAGCTAATTTGTTCATGTCTTCCACTCTCAATGGTCAGGTCTCACAGCCATAAAGGAGGATGGAGCGGACTGCTGAGCAGTACACACGCCCTTTGGTCGATAGTCGGATATCGCGTCTACGCCAGAGACAGCGTAAACTGGCATATGCGAAACTAGCCCTCTGTATTCGTGCTGAGATTTCGTCAGAGATCAACCCGTTGGCTCTGGCTGATGGTACTTCCCAAATAAGTGAAGCGGTCAACGTGCTCTACCACTTCACTTCCTATTTCTAATCTAGGAGTCGGTGTAGTCCAGTCCTGTAACATCATCTTACATTTGGCGGGAGTGAATCGCATGCCAAACATTCGTAGATTGCAGCTCAAGGTGTTCAGAAGACTCTGCATTTTGTCAGCGTCCTCGCCTAGAAGGACTATATCATCACCAACCAATCACAGCAGACTTAACGTGTGCAAATAGGATTCGCAGATATATGTCCAAAATTTCTAAGAGATGGTCACAAGCATTACAGAATAACCTTCAGCTAGAAAACAACCAACCAGAAGAAATCGCTTCTCTGCTAATAGTAATGCTAATAATAATGTACATAAAAATCTATAAATATCTCTTGATTTTCTCAATAAACGATCTGTTGCCTGGCCCTTGTTTCTGTCGTTACACAAGTACCACCAAAATTATTCCACCATGTCGAAAGCTTCGCTAAATCAATTCATAACTGTGATAATCCCACTGTTTTGATTCATAAAGTTTATAGATCTAGTTGTTCTGCATCTAACTTCTTCTTCTTCTGAATTTGATAAATAAATCCTCCTGGCCGTTTTTTACAACTATTTGCATTTGTCTTGAACATTAGATTTGCTATAATGTTAGTTGCCTTTGGCCTTACTTAAGCTTTGAAATACTTCGAAATTGTTACCACTACCAAGGAAGGATATTTAAACTCTATATAATTGTCATCACCATCATCCTTATTTATACCATTTGTTTATAATCTTTATTTCGTATTTTACAGTGCTGACAGTACCAATGAAATGAACGCTTTTCGTGATCAGCTGTGTATAGCAATCCCTCAGTTAACTGGATATCATCTAACTAATTTATCAAAGGCTGTAGATGAATTAGAACTTTGGGCTAACAGTAGATTAAATGAATCACATTGTCCAATGGATCCTGTTGAAAAAAGACATCCACAGCTAGGAGCTCAATTGAAAGTGAGATGAGATATATTTATTTTTGTCTGGTTTTCTCCCTTATAATGGATTACGTGTTATAAAAGCTTTATATATATAGGTTTGAATAGGATGGAAACTTAAAGAAACATTTTCATACAAACAGCGCACGGTTATGAAACTTCATTTGGGCGCGATGCCTCCCTGATAGACAGATAAACGTTGTTTGCGAGCAATGTTTAATTATTCTTTTATGATACCTGGGGTTCTGTTTGGTTGAAAAGTACTGCGTTTGGGAGGAAGATAAGATCTCATCACCTCATTATTGCTTTTTCTAGATCAGTTTAATTCAAGCATGTGTGGTAATCACTTCACACTCACTTAATTTCTCTTTCTCATTTGACAGTGCAAAATTTGTTTACCGATATATAATCTTAGGAAATATTTCCTACCTTTCTGTGTAAGGTAACCCGTGATTGGTTTGTTGAATTTTTAAAAGTGTACTGAATTTTCGTCCTGTACGTTACATATTCCTGTTGTAGATGATGTTAACTACCTGTTAGTACTGTCTATCGCTTCACTCTAATTGGTAAAATGATAAACTCACTAGTGCCAATGACAATCGACCCCCCCCTTTGCCACAGTCCCGTTTTACTCATCTCAGAAATAACGTCAACAGACGTTGCTGGTTAAATTCTTCTATCGTTCGTTATTTCTGACTATTTTACCCCTCTGTGATGTTTCCTCCCCGTTATTACTTGTTCTGTGATCGGGTATTTGTGAGAAACCCGCATTTAATTCTTTTTTAAAAGGTATCTTTGATATGGCGATGTATGTAATAAAATTAGCTTGTACATTTTGTTTAACTTAAGAAAATAAAGCTGTGTAGTTGTGTGGTCTGTGCTACCGATAAGATTTATCTGTAGTGTATGAAGGGACGTTCGTTGGCATAAAAATATCAAATAGCGGAGTGATAGCTGGCTGGCTGGATTCAACATAGAACTTGGCACCGAAGTGCAGCAGTTCAAGTTGACACGTTCCAAATAGCACACAAAGGTAGACAAGAAAATGAGTGAAGATAATCAATAGAGTTTTGACAAGTATAAGAGTAAAACAGAATGAGTAATAGTAGAAAGGAATATGAAAGATTACAGAGACTGAATACATCTGCGTAAGCCATTGACAACGATTTTGAACCATGTCACCTAGTGTCTCCAGCCATTGATTCTTAGAGTCCCGAGGGTGGGCCCCAACCCGGAAGTCTGCATCTCCCTACCTGACTCAGTTCAACTGTCAAGGATTTCATGGATTGATGCCATGTTTTTGTTTTGCCACCGCTTACTCTTTTCCAATTGCACCTGTATCAGCTAGTAATGCCCGTCCGTCGGGGGAGGCGATGGTTAGGCATGCGCAGCACGTGGCCTAACCATCTCAATCTATGTAACTTCATAGCCTCTTCGATTGATTTTCCCTCTTTGCCCAACACTCGCGGAGTGATAGATTTGATGTCAAAGAGAGCAAATGATTCAGGGTTGCGGCGAAACACGAGAGACACGAAGAGAAGATAAAGAAACACAATACGAAGGGCAGAAGTAGCGCAACACGAAAGATTTGTACAAATGATGGTTTGCAGATAAGGTGTACATAATTTGGCTATATAGAGATACCGAATTCCACATAAACATTTCTTTACCATGTCTCTTGTGTTCTACCGTTACAGTTGTAAGTACCGGTCAAAACGTGTCGGTGGGGTGCTCGGTATGGTCATTAGGCGAAGTATGAGTTCAGCGATACTGGCGTTGACTTTCTTTCAGTCTCAGATCCTAGTAATCCATTAATAGGAAGCCAGCCTAGAACTTCAATTTAATGCTTGCTAGCAGTCATTAGCAAGTTACTTCTACGGTCTTAAGTAAATTTGTGTTATTTCTTGGAGGCTAACTTGTATTACGTGGTACTTAATCCAGAAAATTTATCATACCAAGATATTTATTTTTTCTAACTGAACTCAAAGAAAGCATAAGTAGTTTTATTTTTTGTATTTTTATTTTCTGTTTTCACAGCATGCTGGTCAACGATTAATGGAGTTAGAAACGTGTTTAGAGCATAGTCGTGAAGCTGCCAATATTCTCAAATTTTTTGAACATGAAACTCAAATTTGGTCATCGACTTTATCACCATCATCGTCATTAACTGGCAAGCGTGAATCTAGTCAAGAGGTTGCAAGAAAACGTGGTCTACTCTTACAGTCGAATTTTGAAAGTTCACCTGTAGCTTGTAGACTGCATACAGCATGGATGAAATTGACTCAATTAGGCGATCGTCTTGGTCGAATACAAGCCGGGTGAGCCATTATTATTGAATATGCTTGCCTAAAATTGTATTGCGTTACGTATGAGGTGGAAAGAGGAAATCTCAGTAAAGTGATGGAGATATCATGAATAAGATTTATTCTGGGTTAAGTTGACCATGTTCTCAAGAGATCGTTATCTCTGTAAGAGAAGAGTAATTAAAGCTGAAGCGAAAATCTAGCGCATGGTGGATTTTGAACCAATGGGTGGCTTCTTTAAGATTACAGATCTGGTGTTTTACAAACTTCATTTCAAAAGCAAGACATACATAATTTTGAGAATCCCTCTAGATTTGTAATTGCTTTAGAAATAAGCAAGTTTACCTTGTTGATGATATTAAGTGTTAGATGATGACATTTCCAGTCTTCCACCATTAATTTAAATAATTTATTTAGTCTTTCATCTAATAAACGAATCTATTTTACCTGGAATGGAATTCCAATTGGCTATAGGGACTTTGTTAGAAGAACACTGTCAATACTGTAGAAATATGCCAACCAGCATGAGCTATGTGTATTGTTAATAGTCTTTTGCTACATAACTGATTTTTAGTGAACAAAATGTTCTAATTAACTTATGTGTATAATAATGATGTCTCTATTGTCCCACTTAATTCAGGTTGCCTGTCCGACCTTGTGGAGAAAATGGAACGCAGGTTTGGGTAAGTTAGATGAATTTTCAAGTGTTTGGTTTGCAGGGATTCGATTGATTTCGAGTTTGATTATCAATTGAAAACGGTTAGACGGCCATCAGAAATTAGGGTGTACTGGACATCTGTTTCTTCCCAGTATGGGACTACTAACTACTAAGTACCCAGGAACTTCAGGTTACGAGACGAACCTGTTTACCATTCAACCAGTAAGATGGATTCCAATGGCCCATGAGTTATTATTATTATTCCCTTGCGTTCCGAGTGGAACATAGGGCTTCAACAACACATCTCCACTTTGTCCTATCTTCTGCCATCCTCAGCTGGCTCCACGACTGACCCTAATCTCTCATCTCCTCTTCTCACGATCTCCTCCATATCACCCTCACACTGACGACCCACTTTTCGCTTCTCATTTGGATTCAACTCGAGCGATGGCCTATTGCGTACGATGTCATTTGATGGTCTCCTCAATGTGTGGCCGATCCATCTCCATTTTCTCCTACATATTTGTTGAGCGATCGGTTATTGGTTGGTTTGTTACGAGCCAGAGTTTCTGGTTGTTAATTCTTTCTAGCCGGCTGGCCATTTGATCTTCAGTATAGAGTCAGCGAAGGCAGCTGTTAACAAAACTCTGTAACTTGTTGGAAATCCTTTTCGTGACACGCCCGCCAAGTTTCTGACCCGTATAGAAGAAGTGACTGACTGACTTCACATTTGTGTCGGAAATCAGAATCTCTTTCTTTATGCTGAGACGGAGTGCAGGAGATTTCCAAATTGGTTTCAAGTTTCTGGTTTCTCCCATTATCAGCCATCATCAACATTTATTAATATTTTAATAATTCTTGTAATGCTATGACAATGTAACTGACAGAGAACAAGTTAGTTCAAAAATTGCATCATACTTTTTATTGTACTTATAAGTAGTATAATTGTATAAATAAAATATATTATATGTCGGCGTCGTGTTGGTTTATCACTAAGGCTTAAGATAAGTATGTGAAAAAGCCAACAGAAAAAAGTACATCACTATTCTAAAGTCATGAAATTAGTGAGCATGTCGTGCAATAAATTGAACGAATCAACACCACTGGTTCTATAAATCCCAGACGTTGAATACACTTGAATTGTAGTCTGATTTACCTTGTCACATTTTGACACTTTTCTGTAAATGTACTTTATGCATCAAACAATCCTATGTTTATTATTTATATTTCAGTTCAATATTTGCAGCATACTATCTTTGTCAGTATCACTTTTTGCTTTCCCAAAGCTCAGTTTTGTCATATTAACGGTAAATTATGTAATAATTGATGTGTCGCCTTCATGTGCTAATGAGTATTCTCTTCCCTCATTTTATTTCACCAAGGTAAATAATGACTTCTCTACGCCGACTAGATATGCACATGTCGTCTCTTCAAAAGTGGAGAAAGTCGAACTACAAGTTTCACCGCCAATACTACCACCTCGTCCTTCTCCTCCTTCACATCGTCATATTTCTCCAGTACAAACTCAATCGAATTTGCCAACAAATTTGAGAAGTAGGCTAATCAAGAATGAGGTAAACAGAAATGCTAGATGGAATAAAGATGATTATGAGTTTCCCTATAATGTCATTAGTGCTGAGAAGTTACGTCGTAGACAGACGAATTTACGTGATGCACTTGGATCGCATAAATGTGTTTATCCTGATTGTAAAGAATCACGGGAAGAATGCTTACATACTCATGTGGGTGGTCGTAAGAAAGAGGTAAGTGTGGTTTTCATATTCTATGGAGAGAATTCTTCCCTCTGATAATACTTTCAACAAGTTTTGCAATTAACTGAGCCTTTATTAAGTTGAAGGAAAATGATTTTCTAAGTCAAAATGTGTTAACTTAATTTGGAGAGTAAGCAAATGGAATGACTAATATCTTTACGTTGACATATTCAAGACATCGTCTTAACTTGTGAGTAGCGAGAGCATACTATGACAAAATGTAAAGGAATACTGAACGAATATAATCGAGAAACTAGAAGCTTTGACTTTCTCATCAGATAACTGAATTCTTGGTTGAAACAAATAGATTTACAACTTTTGTAATAATCTCCACATGTTTAGTGCTTTTGTACGTTTTTCCTGTGTCTGAAACTTTAATATTATCCAAGTTAAACTGATGTTCATTAATGTTAACTTGAAGTGGTATAAACTAGTGTATATTATGGGTGTGAAGATTGGATGGACGTCCGCTCTGGCCAATGTTGTATTTTTCGCGCCTGATGCAGTCTGTTTTATTAATCACATTAGTTTTGTATTCTAGCCTTGTTGGGTTTTTCGGCAACGATATTATGGAGTAAAAAGACCCGGCTGCTTTATGAGAGACATCTATCCAAACAGGTTTTAATATTCTACCAGGGATTCCGAGTGGAACATAGGGCTTCAACAACACATCTCCACTTTGTCCTACTCTCTGCCGTCCCACTCAGCTGAGTCCACGATTGTCCGTTATCTCTCATCTCCTCTTCTCACGATCTCCTCCATGTCACCCGCGCACCGACGACCCACTCGTCGCTTCTCATTTGGATTCCACTCGAGCGATGGCCTGTATTGCTCACGATGTCATTTGATGGTCTCCTCGACATGTACCTGATCTACCTCCATTTTCTCCTGCATATTTGTTGAGTGATTGGCTCTTGCTTGTTTGTTTGTTGCCACAGTTTCTTTCTGGTCATTTCACCTTCAGTATGGAATCAGCAAAGGTAGCTGTTGGCAAAAGTTTGTAACTTGTCGGAAATCATTGTCGTGACATGCTGGTCAAGTTTTGACTGGTATAGAAGATGTGACTTCATGTTTGTGTTGCACAGAATCTGAATCTTGTTCTTTATGCTGAGGCGGAGTGCAGAAGATTCCCTAATTGGTTTCAGCTTGATGAAGGCGTATCTTGCCTTTCTGATTATGACTTTGACAACTTCATCCGTTCCGTCTGTTGTTGAAAAGATGCTTCCTAGATAAGTTTCTTCATGTAGGGCAGACGTATTTTCCTCTTTGTTTCAGTAGATTAGTTTGTGTCGGTCAGTTGGATTGTTGATGAATTTTTTTGGATATTCGTTCTTCTGGAAGTGTCATAAGACAGGAGTACTGTTGTGTGTTCTAGATCTTGTGAATAATATTTAAATAGAGCCCCTTTTCAGCGCTGTTGGATTGTTGCGGTTATAACCGAGTGTGTGATTTGTCTATATTGATTTCTTTAATTGTGTTCCTAATTTCCATGCAATTGTTTGCTGGACTAAGGCATCCAAAAATGGGATTTCACTCTCTGATTGCTCTTCTTTTGTAAATTCAATGTCATCAAAAACCTTGTTGATTAGGATGTAAATACTTTGTAAATCACATCTTCTGGTCAGTAGTGTAATTTAGAGTAAAATAATACACTACTTATAATAAAACAGTAGTATGATTTGTTTTCAAAAATTAGCACGCAGCTTTATGCTACTCAAATTATATTGTAGGATTCAAATTACTTTGAGAAGCAATAGCTAACTAGATGACTATTCTGGGGCAAAAATCATTCCTCATATTCATTCTTAATATTTAACACCACTTCCTGACTTGTGGTAAATTCAACTTCAGATAGATAAGACTTTATACTACTGATTGACTGAGATAAGTAGTTACATATAGAAAAGAAGCTGGAGAACAATAAAAAGCAATTTTTGAAGACGCATAGTTACAATTAATGTAATAATGAACGAAAAATTGTTTCCCGAGCGTCATCCAGTAATTTAGTACCGTCCCATTGTGTGGTATATCCAGCAGACAAATTAATATGGAACTAAAAACTACTTCAGGGTCCACATACGTTCCTCGTATTGTAGTTCTGTGCATGTATATATGTCAGAATCCTTCATAATTGTGCAGTTACTTTGGAAGAACTCAAAATCTGAGATACTCGAGTACTTGCCTTTGAGAGCTTATAGTTAAGGACAACAAGGCACTCTACTTGTTATTGTTTCATACCGATATGAGAAAGTATAGATTGTGAACGGAAAATCTAATCGCAATCCATACAACTTTTGAAAAGGAAGGCTCCTGAATTTATCTTTTCATTTGTCTACTACCTCATCATTTCCAGGGCTTTGAGTGGTGTTTATAACTCTTTATCATGTCTTCATTGTTCTCCATGATCGCATCATAATTTTCTTATTGCCTTTAAATTTCTTTAGATGAATATTGAAGACAAAATTGAATACATATTTAGAAAGATCATCAACTTACACGCCTGTCTACAGAAAGATTACAATGAATCTTATCATCATGAAGTCTATCAGAGAAGAATGTCCTCAATATCTAAAAGTGAATTAAATCGTTTAGTTAGACATTCATGTAGACGACGATGGCATAACTCATATAGTTTGAAATCAGATTATGAAGAATTGAAAATTCTTATTGATGAATTAATGAACTCTGAGTATCCGAAAATCACTAAATTACAAGAATGCTTTAAATCATTAGAAGATTTATGGTTTGGTACCACGAATTCAAGAGAGAACTTAAACAGACGTGTCAACAGATCTAGATCACGATCTCGTGTTTCAAATGAACATGATGAACACGATTACAATTCAATTGAGTCTATCTATGAAGATGTACGAGGTAATGCTATTGAATTCCGTCAATATATTCAGCACAACGGTACTTATTTCCATTCAACTATCTCTCCTCCTAATCCAACTGCTCCAGCTATTCCACATACTTATGATTCTGTTTCAAGTGACTATGAGACTCCGCATACTCAGAAGCCTTGTCAGTCATATAAGGATAAGGATAAGGACAATTTATCGAATGAAGAGTTTTGTGACTGGACATGGCGTGAAATAAGAAATCATGGATCAGATGCACAACCTCTTGTATTCCCTTCTTCTGAGGAGATGAATCGTACACATCTAACGGTCAGTGTTGCAAAATCACAGTATCCTTGTGACACAAAAGTTGTGCCGTCGAGCAGTCAGACGCATCAATTCTCTAAAACTCCTGACTTTCATTCAGCTACTACGCCGTCTGAGAAGGTATCCATAAATACCAGTGAAGATAGTTCAGAAAATGCACCTGGCAGTATAAAGAGTGGAATTCCTGTACACGCTAAAAATACTGCAGAAGTTCATGTTCAGAAAATTAAACTACTCCCATTGAATACTGTTGATCCGACACTAAGATCAACTTCCCCTACATCCATCCGAAGAGACTGGTTATCACAGCCTAACAGAACAATCAGTGAAACTCCTCGCTTAAATAAAGATGAAAAACATTGTGAAAATGCCTATCAGTCTGATGAAATCCATTCTTATTATACACAACCAGGTGCAATGACTGACAGTGCTGTGGTGACTACAACAGGTCGCATAGCTTACTTAGATTCAATTACACCTACCTCAAAAATAAACGCGATACCGCAATATGGTGGATTGGATCCCAGTTACAAAAATAAAGATAAACCACCGTCCACTAGCCCAATACCTCCTGATGGTCATATTAAACCTAAGCCAACAAATATTGAACTTTGTGTCAATAAACCAGCAGCCCCAGATGTTAGCAATCACGTTTCAAGTAATAAGTATATCTCAAGTTCGTTAGTTGACAGTACTGTTAGCAGAGAGGTCATACTGGAAGTTACAGATGTTTCGTCTAGTAAAAATCTGAACTTAGATCATAATTATAGATCTACTCAAACCAATTTCATTAATTCAGATAAACAACCATCAACTGTTTCTACAGATTCAAGTAAGACGGAAAATTCAGTGAATGGAATAAGTACAACTTCACAACATAAAGTTAATTCGGATATACCCTCATCTAACAGTTATTCATCGCTATTAACAATGACAACTACAACAGTTAATATAAATCTGCTTCAACATAAATCTTTAGAAAACAAACAGAAATCATCTGAAGTAACAAACAGCAGAGTTCCTTCAGATAGTTGTATAACCACTTCTAAGGCAGAATCAGTTCCTTATCCATCATCATCACCATCATCATCATTTTCACTTCCAACTTATTCTTCCTTATACAACAGCACAAGAAGAGCATTCCATCAAATCTATCAATGTCGCCATCTTGACACCTCTCCTGCTGCTGCTGCTGCTGCTAATGAAAATGTTGTTGATGACGATGATGCTACTGATAGAAGTATAAATTCAATGTGTGATTTATGCCAACATATGACTAATTTGCATACACTGATTTCAATATTACAGTCGCATTTATTATCGAATCGACAGAATCGACTGTGCAATCTACTACCGGTGGATATAGAATCATTCACACAGACAGCATCATCAATCTCCTCCTTATCTACTTATTGGTCACCGATAATTAAAGAATATCTAACAATAATACACGAAATCAAATCAGAATTGAATTCATTTCAATCATCCTCTTCTTATTTAGAGTGTAAAATTGTTCACTTACCTGAGTATAAATCAATGGATGATTTATTGAATATTTGGCAGTGTAGATTACAAGATTTCCTGTGTCTTCGATCATCGATTGACTCCACCTCGGGGGTCAATATACCACAGACACGTTGGCTTACACTATTCATTAGTTTAATACAACATAATGAAATTCAAGTGGAATATTTAAAGTCTGTATTTACAAGTCTAATACATTTTATCCAAAATGACTATGACTATGATGAATCGAGTAAGAGTGAACTCGAAGCGAATAATACCGATAATGGTAATACTGCTAATAACGATCACAATCCCCTATCAAATAGTTATGCATCAGAAGTTGTACAAACTCACGACCATTCACAAAATATTCGATATCTTCCTACTGAGAGATTAAGAATATCATTGAAGCATGAGTACTTAGATGATTTGAAGAGTAGACTATTCTCGCATGATTTAGTCGATCAACAAACTATCACGTCACCGATACAACTGTTCCCTCCGTGCAATTCTTCTCTATTGACTTTACCAACTGTAAATTTTACTCCTTCTTTACGGTCTAAAACAGGAGAGGAGGGGAATGCACGCGAAATTCCCACTACTGTTGTTATTCCCGGTGTTCATGAAAAGAAAAATGATAAAGATGAGGAATCACAAACATCTCCTAAATTGCATAGTTCCGGTGCAGTATCATTTGAACAACAAACACCTAACTTTCATCATCAAATCGTTACTCATAACAAAGGTAGTAGTACTGAACCATTTACTGATGAAATTCCTAGCGGAAGAAGTATTCAGAAGACTGAAACTGTAGAGGAATCTAAAGACAACTGTAGCGAAACAAATTGGATTACAGTACGTAGAGGTAAACAGAAAAAGGCTAAAAAACGTAAATACAAAAATGAAGATTGTTCCAAGGGAAAGAATAGTAACAGAACTGAAAAGATCGATAATGCTGATCATAAAGATCCACATCAACCTGACCACAGTGTAACGGCACCCGAGTTGATGCAAATTTCACATGTAGATGAAAATCAAATAACAATTGGAGATAACCAACTGGACAGCTCACTATACCTTAGAACCTCAACTCCAGTTTCAGAAACATTGTCTAATACTTCTAATCAGATATATTCACAGCAGTTTCATGAAGCGAAAATCCACACAGCTGAAAATGTTGGGAGTGAGTTGTACCGAGGAGTCAGCAGAGGTGGTGAATCAAAACGAACAGATAATCTGATTGGTGAAAACAATCTAAGAGAGGACAGTAAACCTGGTGCTAATGATACCGAAGCAGATGGAAGAGTGAGGGAAGAGGAAAACACAAACCATACAAACAAATCCGACGACTTGGCGTCGTGGATATCCATGCAATCGGATAGTTCACCATCAGTAACTGATTTAAATATGGTTTTTGGTGTGAATACTGTTGAAGATAAAGAATGTCGTGCAGGCGATTTTCTTAAGTCGCCTTCTGAAGACAATAATCCAGCTTCTATAAAATATGCAACAGAAGAGACAGCAATTTGCAGCATTTTTAAGAGTGATGTCACTGATAATTGTAAAACTACACTAACCCCGGTGATAACAAGTCCCCCTGTCGAGTTTGATACCCCTTTGAAGTCAGGGTATCATTTAGAAAGGAATAAAAAGCGTGTTCAAGATTATGAACATAGCACAGGCGATACACATTTCAAGTCATCTGAGCTAAGAGTTCCACATGAAACAGGCGGAAAGGAGATTAATAGTTCCGGGGCAGAGCATAAAAATAAACCCTTTCAGTCGAAAAAACACACAAAAGTTGGCTTAATTCAAAATGATGATCACAAAGTACTGAATAAGGAAATACTGTCAGAAAATGAGAGGCAATTTCCTTCAACAGAAGCAAATCGCTCACGCGTTTCCAAGGATGATGATGAAGGTGGTATAAGCGCTTTAGTCAATATTTCTAATACAAGCAAAAATAACTTTTATTCAAATGTGTTAGAAAATGATACAGATGGTGGGCAATCTTTGAAATCCAAAACGCCAGGATCGGCAAATGATGATAGCCTCAGTAAAAATGTGATCAAAGTGTCTGATAGTAATATAACTGTTGATGCAAGTTCACCATCTTCACCTGTATCCACTTCAAATGAACCAATACACGATTCTAATAAAGTCCCACCGTCTAAAAGAAGAACACGCAAGACTAACCGTAAAGGTGCAGTAAGCCGGCATCTAAACAAACGTCTCATGGCTAATAACTTAGAGCCGACAGCTATAGTCGATCAGTCGTCAAAATACCATGCTGCTGCAAGAGGCGTGTCTATTGAACACACCAGTATGTCTTTAAAATCCAAGCAACATTCAGAATCAGACAGTGACGCAACACCAAATTCCTCATTAACCCGAACAATACCAACATCGGAAGTACCTACGACAATATCCCTGAGGCCTGCTTGGTCTGAAAGTTATCACAGTAGTTTTACATCTGATAAGGATAAGATGGAAGAAGAAATCAACTCTGCTGCTTTCCAACAGCATGAGGATAGTCGGACCAAACAAGCTTGTCTACCACCGACAGGAACAAGGAAATGTACAATTTCCTTTGATGAAACTAATGAAAGCAGTTCGAATATTTTAAGCCCTACTGAGCAGGTGCTTGTTGGTCCTTCACGCTTACCTGAAGGTAATTTAAGTAATTATGAATTTGAGGCATTCAACAAGTCGATGGACAGGAGAAAATATCCATTGAGCAGTAAAGATGAAAACATTGATTTAGAACAAAATGTTTATAAACAAAGAAAACAGTTGGACGAATCACGAAAACGCATTACGAAACTAAGTCAATTTTATCAAAATGAATCCTTAAAGAAAGGAAAAAACAATGATTCAGTCAGTAGATCACATCACTGTCATGACAACAATGATGATAATGATGATGACGACAGTAGTAATAACATCAGGTATGATCAACATGAATTCCATTCTGAGAGAAGAAATCCTCAACTGACGTATGAGGTAGAAAATGTTTATGTTTTACGTCAGATTCCCTTCAAAAAGCAGGGTGAATTTCAAAATGAATTATCAGCTGACTCAAGAAATGTTGAAAACACTATCCAGCATAGTGATAGGATACACTCATCATCTCATTTGTTTAGCAGTGAAAAGAGAAAAAGTGATTCATTCTTGAACGATGATGACTTTTCACAACTGAAGAGACAACAGGTTAGTTTTATTGGGTTTAACATAAATTTGCTGTTATGTTTTCGGGAGTTATCACGATTGTTACTTCGGTAAAAAAGCTACTCAGTTATCGTAGATTTGACAGCGCAGTGGCAGACATTCAACGGGATTCGATCTACATCAACCGAGAAAATGAATAAAGGAGGTCTAGGAAGATGTAGAGAATTCAGCGTATATGCTCTAGATTGTGCTTAATTTAGAATTGCTTTACTGACTGCCTCTGCACCTGTACTCATAAAATCTTAAACACCGCCAAGGAAGGAATAAATTCCCTCTTTTGTTCAACTTAACCATTAGACGTAACCACAAGTAAGTAGAACTCATGGTGTTCTTATCTCGACTCATTTATACTGTGAATCCAAATTCTAACTCGTGAATTGTCGAATGCCGATCAAGAAGATACCATCAAAAATCGGTATGAATGCAGTTGAACTATGGAAAGATATTGTATTAAATGCTTGTGTCGAGATTAAATTATTTCACGCTTTTACGTATGAATGGTCGGGTAATGATAGTAGGTCGATAAATTTGATTTCTTTATTTTCTGATTCGATGAGAACAATTACTAAAATTAAATAATTGATAGAGTTAATGACAATGAAAATACCATGACTTGTTCACACCTTTAAGAATTGTTGTACCTACAGCCATTAGACTATCGATGTATTCAGAGAGCATGCTTAATGGTTAATATTCGACAGTTATTCGAGCTTGGTCACTTAATTAGTCAGAAGGAGTCAATTTCGAATAGCACTGTCTTCAAGTGGAATGAGTAAGTTAGGAATCCTTACAGCATGGAAATTAGAAAGATAAATCATATATATATATATATATATATATATATGTATATATATATATATAGACACTTAACTCTTCAGCTTGTCTTTCATTGCTCTAGTTGAAGGGTTTCAAGTTACCAATCACCACCGATGGGAGAAATCTAAAGGAAGTTGTTTCTTCCACTCACGTCGGCAGCATCGTCGCACGGATGAGGATGTCAAAGCCAAACAGATGGTCATCATTCTGGGATCAGTATAGAGATCTACAGTTCCATCATGGAGAAAATTTATTCGATAAAGCCACACAGTGTTGTACAGTAATATTTACTGATGATGTGTCAGGCACAATTTAATACCGCTTATAATCATATCAAGTTATTCACACAACTTTCTGATTTCTTTTATATATTTCCATTATTTCTCATCTCTCGATTTGATTGGTAGTAATATTTTCCATAGCAATGATTCCGTCATTGCATCATTTATAAAGGCTAGTGTTTATAAAAAGCCAACACATTCTAAGAGATATTTAGACTTGAATTCATCGCATCCGTTATCGGTAAGGTCAGGCTTAGTTAAATGTCTAACAAACCAAGCAATAACACTAAGCAGTCCATCAAAAAACCTAAGTGATGAAATAAAACAGATAGAAGAAGCGTTGGTGTTAAATAACTATCCTATAGAATTCATTAAAAAGATCATAAAAGGTCACAAGAAAAATAAAAATAATGATGGAACTAGTAATGATAACATACATAGGAAGAAATTAAAAGCATCTACAGTTCTACCTGATAAGGAGGGAACATCTGAAACCCTACGCAGGATTCTTCATAAAGCAGGAATTAGGGTGGCATTCAAACTTACAAACTCACTCAGAGACAAGCTCTGTAGGCTAAAGGACCCGGTTGACCCAATTAAACAAAATAATATAATTTACAGAATACCTTGCAATGACTGTGATTTAAACTACATAGGTCAAACTAGTACGTCGGGGGTAATCAGATAGTTGGAACATAAGAATTTGGCTAAGGTTAGAATGGTTGACCCCGTAAAGACAAGTAATTTAGAAAAAACTCAGCGATTGCAGTGCATGCATTAAAGCACAACCACATAATAGAGTAGGATAGAGTTACAATTCTGAAAAGTAATATAAGAAGGTGGGGAGAGAGTTTGGTTACAGAATCTTTGTTCATCGAATCTACGCCCAACACATGTAATAGGAATGACTCATCACCCATACCGGAAATATGGAAAATACTACTACCAATCAAGTCAAGCGATGAAAAATAATGGAATTATGTAAACGAAGTTAGAAAGTTGTGTGAGTAACTTGATATGATTATGAGTGGCAATAAATTGTACTCGATACATCATCAGTAAATATTACTGTGTAACACTGTTATACTTTATTGAATAAATTTTCTCCATTACGGAATTATACCCTACCACAGTGTCCAAGTTGTTTTCTTATAGAGATCTGCAGCACTGAGCACAAAGAACCAGATCTGAATTTTCAGCACTAATGTCAAGTTAGTGCTTCTGTATGCTTTAGAGACTTGACACATCATGAAAAGGTTCAGACTTTCATCAACGGCTGCCTTCATAGCCTTGATATTGAAGGTCAGATGGCCAGATAGAATGAGTAGCACGGAACTATGTTGACAAGCTAACCAAGAACCTATTGCTCGACAAATATGACGGAGATGCGGATAGATCAGACACATTATGAGGAGACTGTTGGACGACATCCATCGAGCACCAAGGCCTCTAGTGGTACCCGAATGGGAAGTGATAAGTTGAACGTGAGTCGGAGAGTGATATGGAGGAGATCATTTGAGGAGGAAACTAAAGTTTATGAATCATCGTGAGGCCAACTAAAGAAGACTGCAAAGAACAGTGTGCTATGGAGATGTGCTTCTGATGCCCTGTCCCACTAGAAACCCAAAGGATTATTAATAATAGCAGTAATAATGTCATTATTATTACAAGTTACCATTAAAAACGAAGTCATCAGTGTACAAGAACTAGTTGTGTGACAGCATCAAACAGTGTTGTCTAGTCCTAACTACTGATCGGAATTTCTCGGTCAAGTGTGAAATCCTGTTATTGAGTCATTTTCAATGGATTCTCGAAGGAGAATGTAGGGAAATTTCACTTATAGCTGATTACTTAACAAACAACTAATTAGGCAAAAGAAATAGCCTTCCTTTTATTCACATTCAGAATAATTCTCTTAAACTTGCTTCTTCTCTTTGGCACTAGCATGAAATCCGTTCATTTCATCTTTTATTGTATCCGACTGCTTTGATTATGTTTTCTAGGTTATATCAACAAGTGAGACCGAGGAAGATAATTTACAAAGAAGGTGAGAATGGTATTTGATAATATTTAACTTACTCCTTAAGTATTTTCTTTTCTTTACAAGATTTCATCATTAGCTGAAATCGGTTACAGAACCATTGGAAAACCTCTGCGTACTGGACAGCTGTTTCGTCCTAGTTTGGGACTCTTCATCGATACACACCCACCGATGTCAGCTCATGATGAAATCCTGTAACTAATCAAATCCCTATAAACCAACACTTGAATATCAATCTGATGCTCAATAGCGACTGGCCCTATTCAAGTAGGTAGTTGCCTGGGTTCCAGTGAGAAGTCGTGACCATTGGGAAACAGGAGATCGGGTGTGAGGATAAATACTCAGCACCGATGACATTGACTAGTAATAGTGGGATATCGTGAATTGGCAGAAGTTGGAATTCATGGTCTAGCCATTGGATCGGGTCTCAGGGACTCAATGGTCTACGAGCTCTCCTTTTAACTGGAAGGTTCGGGATTCGAATGCCGGTCAGTGCGCACTGTTGAGAAGTCCCAAACTAGGACGAGACAGCTGTCCAGTACTCCATGCAGGTTTTCCAACGGTTCTCTAACCAATGTCAGCTCATGATGAAATCCTGAAACCGATCAGATCCCTGCAAGCCAATATTTGAATTTTATTTTCTGTCTATACTGTAGGTAGGTAAGCTTTTATTACTCAGATATCAGTGAATAGTTAAGTAGTCAGTCTGTTAAAATTCGATGGTTTTAAGAGATTTTTGGAGTCTAGCAAGTATTAACTTTCCTCATTACCACCTTATTACCAGTGTCATTTTCCATTCTGCATTGCTAATTAACTTGCAACTAACAGAATATGTGAATCAACACACGATTCACCTACTAACTGAGAGAGTATCTGGCATTTTGCTAGTTTATTCAGATATATAAGGGTTATTTTGATCGAATTCTAAGTCATCATTCATAAACCTGTGTATTTGAAGAGCCTAGTATATCTCTAGTCCTAATATTCTCTTGACCATTTTCATAGTAATTGTAAACAACTTCAAACATTTACTTCTATCGGATGTGAAGACTGCACTAAAAGTGTCAATCAGCTTGTAATTTACACATTTCCGTAAGCGAAAATTATGAAAGGGTTAGAATTTGGATAAGAAAATAGTCAGATAGATGCTTGTAATGATGAGCGAGGAAAAGATTTTCAAAGGCAAAACATTTTTTAGAGATTAAATCTACTGTGAATTTGATGGCTAAACAGACTTTTTTAATGTTCACAGTTCATTTAAATAAAAAGTATGAATCGTTATAGCTTCCCGTTCATCATATTGCTGCGTATTCTGTAAATACATACAAGTTAACTTTAGCGTCTATGGTTCAATTATTTCAACAGTTGTAACTACAATGTTATCGGATTACTTTAATTACAAGTCGATATTAGTTGAACGCAATATTGGAAATAAGCAACTTATTGGATCAATCACTTTGTTACTTTTCTTTCGTAGAACTGTAACTGGAATAGATTGTTATGTAGGTGAAATTCAACAATAGCGTCCCAGGAGTGCGAACGCTCCAATGACCTTGAACGCATGCTAGTCGTTGGCTGACGGCACCTGTCACTATCATAGCTGAAATATCAACGCTATTCAGCAACTAAACGGCAAACTTCACTCAGATCACGTTTTTAAGTAATGTTCGGACAATCTGTTAATAGCTGGTTAGGGTTAGGATTAGGGTTAAGGTAAGTGTTAGGACTAGGGTTAGGATCAGGATCATAATTAGTATTAGGGTGTTAGGATAAGGTTTGCAATTAGGGTTAGGGTTAAGTTTAAGGGTTAGGGTCAGGATTAAGTTTAGGGTTACAACTAGGGATAGATTTAGAGTTTACGTCATTTGTTTCAGTTCGTTTTATTGTCCACATTTTCCTGGTAACTAGTCGTCAGTCCTCTTACTGGAAACCATAGTAATTCAACCGAGGGCTTTTAGGGAAGACTGCACAACAAGATAATAGAGATAAAGAGTTCACAAAAACAGCTCATTTTTAGCCTCCTCGGTGAATACATGTACTGAAACTAGTCTAACTTAGCAAGTGATACTCCTCATTATAACTGGGACGTATTTTCAGTCATGTCAGAGAAAGATGACCTGTTTAGTGTGTTTTCATACATTTTCTTATAAATATACGTCATTTTTTGTGCAAAAATCACTTATTTTTATGATTGGTCAGCTGAAGGTCACTCGTGCGTTCGCATCCCTTGAGACGCTATTGTTGAACTTTGCCATTATGTCATCTCTCAAGTTATGCAACACAACCAGAGATTGATTTTTTAAACCTATCAACTTGGAAAATAGCATAACTCATTTTCATGCTTCAAATGAAAATTACACCGAATTCATATTGAGTAGTTAGTCATGGTTATGAAAATAACCAACCAACAATAACAACAGCAGCAACATCCAGCGCCAATCACCATCAACGGGAGGGATTTGAAAGAGGTTACTTCATTCACTTATCTAAGGAGTATTGTCTCAACTACAGGAGGAACGGACGAAGATGTCAAATCGAGAATCGGGAAGGCGAGAAACACATTCATCCACCTGAAACCAATCTGGAAATCTTCGTCACTCAGCCTGCATCAACAACAAAATTCCGATTTTCAATACAAACGTCAAGTCAGTCAGTTTTTCTATACGGATCAGAAACTTGGCGGGTCACCAAGAATATTTTCAACAGGTTGCAGACCTTTATCAACAACTGTCTTCGTTCTATACTGAAGGTCAGATGGCCGGAAAGAATCATCAACAAGAAACTATGGGAACAAACAAACGAAGCAAGAACCAATCGCCCAACAAATATTCAGGAGAAAGTGGAGATGGATTGGACACTCACTGGCTGAGGAGGCCGTTGGGTGACATCGCGCGTCAGGCCAGTGCTCGAGTGGAACCCGAAAGGGAATCGACGTGTGGGACGTCGAAGGGTGACATGGAGGAGATTGTGTGAAGAGGAGTTGAAACAGAAAGGACTAACATGGACGCAGGTGAAAAGTACAGCAGAAGACAGAAGCAAGTGGAGACGTGTAGTTGAAGCCCTATGTTCCACTAGGAACCCAAGGGAATAATAATAATAAGAATAGTTAGTCATGGTTTACAACTTTCGATATTTTTTCAAATAATTATTTCTTTTTTCTTTTGCTTCAGAGAAGAGTTAATCAATGCTAAGAAAAGTACATCAAAACGAAGATGTTGTCGATTATTACCATGGCTTTTATTATTACTACCACTCTTATTTCTCTTCTTTGCTTTGTTATGTACATTCGTCATACCTGGTTGTCCTTTACTCCTACCTTGGTTTATATGTGATGAAAGAAGTCCAACTGGAGAATGGATTTACAGTACATTTGTAGTATTCCGTATACTTGATCCACCCTTATAAATTTAAAAAAAAAGATTTAATAAATCTTTTTATCATTATTGGAACAGGTTCACTAGCATATAGATCAATACACAACCGTGTTTGTTTATCTTCTTTCCTTTCCACTACTCCTCATATACAACATCATCACCTCATAAAACCTCATTGATATATTGCATTTGTGATTCATAATATTCTTTGTCTTTTGTTTTATTCTACACTTGGTTGATGTACACAAGTGATTATATACTTCTTTTCTTCTTTTATACTCATAGATTGAATGTTCAATAATAATTAATAGTAATCACAATTGTTTCTAATCTCTCATCTCATATATTTGTATACATTTAACTAATTATGTAGTGTGAGACTTTCATTCTCTCTTTGTCTGTCTGTGTATGTGTGTGTATAGTTCAGTACTAAACTGTGATATGTACACACATATCTGTGCACAACATCTACTTTTAACTTATACCTGATTTTTATACTAATTCACAGAAATTCATTTCTTCCTCTCTTTGTCACACTCTTATCCCTCCTCCTCCTAATTACAGAGAAAGGAGGATGGTGGGGTGGTTTGTAACCGTCTTCATTCTGTGTTGTTTTTTTTTTAAACATTAGTGTATCATAAAGTGATCTTGTACTATCTATCAAGTGTGCTTTTTATTTCTTCCTTTTTACTTTGTTTTGATATGTACAGTAGTGAGTGAGTGAGTGAGTGAGTGATGGTGACTATTTTTTATTATCTGCGCCATCCACTTGGTTTATATACATACACTTTCTTTTTTCTCTCATTTCATCAAACACATTACTTTTAACTTCTCACTTCATTTATACTACTTTGTATTTCTTTACTAAAATCTTTTTTTGGATATTTTAAATATTGTATGAAATACATATTTTCAAATTTGAAAGAAAAAATAATTATAATAAAAAGACAGTGATGAAATTTGTTTTTCTTATTTGATAAGGTGAATTTTTTGTTGTTATCTTTTTTAAATTTAGTATTTCATTTTCAAAATGGATTCCTTTTGGTTCTTGTTGATATCTGTGGTAAGTTATTGAAAACCGTATTCTTCTGACAATTGAATAGAGTGCAAAATGTAGACAGCATTGCGTAACCTGCAACAGTTGACTATTGATGGTGGTTTTTTGGCTTCCGTCGTTTTCATTGCACACAGAGTGAAGAGGAAGCGAAGAGGCATTAAGTAGAGGAGTTGCATTAGTAGAAGGAAGGTAAGATAATAGAGATGAAGATGAAGACAGAGATGAGTGAGGATTAGAGAGGTTTCGCGTGCACTTCGGATTGTGAGGGCGATTGTTACTTCCCGGCTGCCCACACCGTGGAAGTTGGTTGCGTGACCGCAGAGCCCAGGGGACAACTGCTTGAGGCCGGTCACACACGGCCTGTTTTTGTTTGTTGTTTCTTATTTGGTGTGTCTCAGTAGCACATTTATCACTTCTGCCCTGTGACACGGCAGCAGGGAGCGCGGTCGTTGTTAATCCAGGCCTCGACCGATCTGGCATGATATTTTGTGATTTATTTTGAGTCATACCATTGGGTTGGGTAACTGCTTTTAGTCTAACCGCTATCCAAACAACCTTTCTGGCATGGTAGGACCTCAAGCGACATGTCTCAGACAGCATAGCTTGTTGGGTCATTGCGGTGTTCAAGCCCGACCACCACGTCAAGGTGGCAGCTTTCGATCGGGTATGGCTCTGAAACATGGCCAATACGAGTTGAAGATATGAAAAGGTTGTCTGTTTTTGACCACATATGTTTACGATCTCTTTCTCGCTTTAGGTGGTATAATAAGGTAAGTAATGTTGACGTTAGGCGTAAAGTGTTGGGCAAAGAGGGAAAATCACTCGAAGAGGCTATGAAGTTACATAGATTGAGATGGCTAGGTCACGTGCTGCGCATGCCTAACCATCGTCTCCCCCGACGGGCATTACTAGCTGATATAGGTGCAGGTTGGAAAAGAGTAAGTAGTGGCCAAACAAAAATATGGCATCAATCCATGAAATCCCTGACAGTTAAACTGGGTCAGGTAGGGAGATGCAGACTTCCGGGTTGGGGCCCACCCTCGGGACTCTAAGAATCAATGGCTGGAGGCACTAGGTGACATGGCTCAAAATCGTTGTCAATGGCGCAGATGTATTCGGTTTCTGTAATCTTTCATATTCCCTTCTACCATTACTCATTCTGTTTCACTTTTATACTTGTCAAAACTCTATTGATTCTCTTCACTCATATTCTTGTCTACCTTTGTGTGCTATTTGGAACGTGGCAACTTGAACTGCTGCACTTCGGTGCCAAGTTCTATGTTGAATCCAGCAGCAGCAACAGTTGAAATCGATTGGGCATATCAAAACTCTTTCATCCTGAACTAACGCAGATTAGCTTACTGTGATACAGCAATCGCTGTTACGTATTTATCTAGTACTGACACGGAGTCTGCAGAAGGCTATAACTTCTGAATGATGGTGGCAGTTTACTCAATGAGCACAGGAATCTGTAAAGTGTTAAGAGAGAAACCTGAACTGATAATTCAGCGAATACTTAAAGCGGATTCTTATTTACTAACGAGGTTAGCAGTGCAACAATAAGAAAATAGGACAGTACTTAAACTGAAAGTGGCAAAATAAAACAAGTAAACTTTAAAATCGCTGTTTTGTTCAACATATTATGTGAAAGTTTCTTTTAAGCGGTGAAAAAATATAGCTATCTTCTAAAACCAAACACAGATAAATATATTACAGGAAAGTAGAAAATCTGATTTGTCTTTTACCAGGTCTATACAGTCGATTTATCCGAAAAATATGATCTAATCCAACAGATTACTATGGTGTTCATAGCACTCAACTATATCTGAACATTTCTAGAAATATTTTATGTACTAATTTCAAACTGTTAATTTTGTTTATTCTTATTGAATATCAACTGTAGTGGTGGGTAATTCCCCAGAATTATTAGCCACAGCATTCATCACTAATAGGAAGCCAAATGAAATAGATAAGTAAGTAAATTTATTACTTGTCATTGGAAATGAGTCAGCTAGCTGACGTTTCGAAACGATTTAGTACATTTAGCTGCTGAACGCTAGAGGGCTAGGACAGTCAATCAAATGAGCGTTTCATGGGGTAGCGAAACGAAAGATACAGAATTATTTGCTTTGCACTAGCTATAAACCAGGAATATGAGGCATGTATGTATCATTATTCTTAGTTCTTAGTGGGACACCATATCCCTATTTTCTCCTGTTCTCCACACTCCTCGTTAGCTGGCTCCACAACTGCCCATAGGTTATCATATCCTCCCCACATGAAATCTTTCAGGTCATCCTAGGACACCCAACTTGCCCTTTCTCACTCAGGTCTCACTCGAGGGCTTGGTGCGCGATATCATTCAGAGGTCTCCTCAGCGTGTGTTTGAACCATCTCCATTTCCTTCTGCACGTTTGTCGAGCAGTAGGTTCGTTGTTAGTCCATTCCCAGAGTTCTTTGTCACTGATTCTTTCTGGTCAGCTATCTGATCTTCTGTATGAAGCCAGAGAAAACAGATGTTGACATAATTGTGGTGGCCTGTTGGAAATGCTTTTTTGAGAGGCCAATTTTCTTACCTGTAAAGAAGAACTGACTTAACATCGGTGTTGAAAATCCGGATTTCGTTGTTTATGCTAAGTGCAGTAGATTTCCAAACTGATTTCAGAGTGATGAAGGTCTACCTCGTCTTTTTGATCCCTGCTTTGACTTCCTTATCCATGTCATCTGCGGTTGTAACGATGATGACTAAGTAAGTAAGTGAAAAAGGTGACTTCCTTTAGATTTTTCCCGTTGACAGTGATGAGTACTTGTAGCTGTGGGTTGTTTCTCTTCTTCACCCCTATCTTCTCCGTGTTCACTTGAAATCCCGTCTTCGCTGCCTGCTTCTTCCGTCAACCTGTTGATCTTTGCCCGTAGATCTTCGAGTTTGTGCGACATTTAACATAAATAATCCACAAAGTTAAGGTCTCTCAGGGTCTTCTCGACGGTCCAACATCTATTTGTTTTCTCATTCTCTTCGGTCTGCCTAGTGATTCAGTCTACCATAGTTTGGAATGTCATCAGTGATGTTAGGCAGCCCTGTCTTACTCCTGAATTCAGTTCAAAGTCTTCATCTAGTCTTTTATTTAGAATCACTTGACATGTGGTATTATCACATGGCTGTCGAATGAGATTGATAAGGGTGTTACAGTTAGTGCACTTTCAAGGAAGATATACGCTCTCAATCTTCAACCCGAAACCCAAAATAGAACTGACCCCAGCAGATTCTTATTCAAAAAGAAACTGTTGAAGATACCCCAATGATTTCTGCTCTTTCTAATAAAGTACACAAGGTAATAACAATACCGAACTTACATTTTGAATTTTTCGGAGTCCAAATACCAAGACCACAATAGTTTAACGCAAAAATGCCTCACAGTTAACAAAAATGCGCACTGAAACAAAAAATATACGCAATTGTCGAAGATGAACTACAAATGGTCTATGTGAAATTTTAAAATAATGTGCAGAGCACAACTTTAGTATTTGAAGGTATATTATCAGGTGTGATGGAGAGTTTGGAACACTTCGTAGTATTGGAGCAGTTTCGTCCGTTGCGCGCGGTCCAAGGTTGAGTCCTTTTCAGTCTCACATAACAACCGCGATTTTCATTGGATTCCTTATTTTTCGGTAAACATATAATTTGATATGTTTTTCGGCCGCCACATACTACAGAACAACCACGTTTTTATGTTCTACTATGTGCTAACGTTGTACACGGTCAAAAACGAACAACACTATATTAAGAAGCACAAGTGAAAACTCGAGAAGATGTATTGTTAAGGCAATGGATTGCGGCATACACGACTTATGGAGAGGCTGAGCACTTCAAGGTTACTTATGCACATTGTGATTAGTAGATTTTCCTTTGCGTAAACGCTGCGGCTAATACGTAGAACACGTTACTGAGGCGGGCCTGAAATGATAATAATAAA